ATTTCAATGATCGATTATGATTCAAAGGGTCACTAGGAACCCTAAAAATTCGCGAGACAAATATACTCCTCGTGGCTTTTCAACCACGTAATTATTTAGGAATATTCGATTTTATTTAATAAAGTCATATCCTTTGGAAGTGTGTAGCTTCTCGTGCGCCTCAAATACTTTTATTTTAATGATCGATTATGATTCAAAGGGTCACTAGGAACCCTAAAAATTCGCGAGTCAAATATACTCCTCGTGGTTTTTCGACCACGTAATTATTTAGGAAAATTCGATTTTACTTAATGAAGTCACGTCCTTTGGAAGTGTGTAACTTCTCGTGCGCCTCAAATACTTTTATTCCAATGATCGATTATGATTCAAAGGGTCACTAGGAACCCTAAAAATTCGCGAGACAAATATACTCCTCGTGGTTTTTCAACCACGTAATTTTTTAGGAAAATTCGATTTTATTTAATAAAGTCACGTCCTTTGGAAGTGTGTAGCTTCTCGTGCGCTTCAAATACTTTTATTTCAATGATCGATTATGATTCAAAGGGTCACTAGGAACCCTAAAAATTCGCGAGGCAAATATACTCCTCATGGTTTTTCATCCACGTAATTATTTAGGAAAATTTGATTTTATTTAATAAAGTCAGTCCTTTGGAAATGTGTAGCTTCTCGTGCGCCTCAAATACTTTTATTTTAATGATCGATTATGATTCAAAGGAACCCTAAAAATTCGCGAGCCAAAAAAACTCCTCGTGGTTTTTCAACCACGTAATTTTTTAAGAAAATTCGATTTTATTTAATAAAGTCACGTCCTTTGGAAGTGTGAAACTTCTAGTGCGCCTCAAATATTATAATTTTCATGATCGATTATGATTCAAAGGGTCACTAGGAACCCCAAAAATTCGCGAGCCAAAAATACTCCTCGTGGTTTTTCAACCACGTAATTTTTTAAGAAAATTCGATTTTATTTAATAAAGTCACGTCCTTTCGAAGTGTGTAACTTCTAGTGGGCCTCAAATACTTTTATTTCAATGATCGATTATGATTCAAAGGGTCACTAGGAACCCTAAAAATTCGCGAGACAAATATACTCCTCGTGGTTTTTCAACCACGTAATTTTTTAGGAAAATTCGATTTTATTTAAAAAAGTCACGTCCTTTGGAAGTGTGTAGCTTCTCGTGCGCTTCAAATACTTTTATTTCAATGATCGATTATGATTGAAAGGGTCACTAGGAACCCTACAAATTCGCGAGACAAATATACTCCTCGTGGTTTTTCAACCACGTAATTATTTAGGAAAATTTGATTTTATTTAATAAAGTCAGTCCTTTGGAAGTGTGTAACTTCTCGTGCGCCTCAAATACTTTTATTTCAATGATCGATTATGATTCAAAGGGTCACTAGGAACCCTAAAAATTCGCGAGCCAAAAATACTCCTCATGGTTTTTCAACCACGTAGTTTTTTACGAAAATTCGATTTTATTTAATAAAGTCACGTCCTTTGGAAGTGTGTAACTTCTCGTGCACCCCAAATACTTTTATTTCAATCATCGATTATGGTTCAAAGGGTCACTAGGAACCCTAAAAATTCGCGAAACAAATATACTCCTCGTGGTTTTTCAACCACGTAATTATTTAGGAAAATTTGATTTTATTTAATAAAGTCAGTCCTTTGGAAGTGTGTAGCTTCTCGTGCGCCTCAAATACTTTTATTTCAATGATCGATTATGATTCAAAGGGTCACTAGGAACCCAAAAAATTCGCGAGACAAATATACTCCCCGTGGTTTTTCAACCACGTAATTATTTAGGAAAGTTAGATTTTATTTAATAACTTCACGTCTTTTGGAAGTGTGTAACTTCTCGTGCGCCTCAAGTACTTTTATTCCAAGGATCGATTATGATTCAAAGGGTCACTACGAACCCTAAAAATTCGCGAGACAAATATACTCCTCGTGGTTTTTCAACCACGTAATTATTTAGAAAAATTTGATTTTATTTAATAAAGTCAGTCCTTTGGAAGTGTGTAACTTCTCGTGCGCCTCAAATACTTTTATTTCAATGATCGATTATGATTCAAAGGGTCACTAGGAACCCTAAAAATTCGCGAGCCAAAAATACTCCTCATGGTTTTTCAACCACGTAGTTTTTTACGAAAATTCGATTTTATTTAATAAAGTCACGTCCTTTGGAAGTGCGTAACTTCTCGTGCGCCTTTTTTTTGCTTCTCTGTGTGTCCCCGGTTGATTTAGATTCACAGTTGGGCCCGATTGGATTATAGGATTTTTTTTTAATGTTTTTTTCCGTTAATGTCGCCTCTGAAGTTTCGCTTTACACAGAGCTGACTGCTTTTAAAACTCACATTTGTTTAACACGTAACTTTGGTAATCCAATAACTTGTTTGCTGACGTTTACAAGTTTTTCCCCTTCAGACTGTCTCTGTCCCGTGTCAAATACAGCGCGTTTTAGCTGTCTTTTTTTGTTTGCAGTATCAGAGGTGAACTCTCCACCACAGGGTATGCCAATTTTCCTCCTTTAAATTATTATGTACGAACCCCATTGAAAATTAAGGGATATGGGAGAAATTTATTGGTTAGATCGATTTTAGGAATGGTTTCTCCAAATTAATGGTGTAGAATTGAATTCCGTTAGGGTAGCTCACTGTTAGGTTCCATTAGATCGCTGGTAATTTTCCAAATTAATTAAGCGCTCTTTATTTCTGTAATAGCCGAAGGTTGTAGGATGTGCCATGAGATTTTTTTCATAATGCGGTTAGGTAGCGATAACTGGCCACGATAACGGGAGGTTCATTAGAAATTCGGGACGGTACAGCTGAATCAAAGTCAGTCGTTAATAGAGAAGCTACGCAACTTGAAAGAATAATGAACTAGGTTTTTCTAAGGGAGAGGATAACTAACTAATTACGCGTAGAGCCGCGTTAGAGCGAGTAATGAGAAAGCAATGTTGTCTTGAACCGTCATAGAGATCAAGGCAATCGTCTGGGAAAAAATCACCTTGAAAGCATTCTTAGGGATGTACTTCAGGGCTATAAAAATTGTAGTGCAAATTCATGTTGTCTCCCTTCTTCTTTTCAAAATTATCTTTACAGTTTGAAAATTGTGCATTTGGATATCTTTTATTCGCTATTTTATATGTAGGGAGGTTCATGGCTCACACACAAGTAAAACTAATACAAGCTTTGTGTATCTTGTAGTTGTAGTAATTGTAGATTATCCATTTGACCGCATTTAGTATAAGCTACTAACTAGCGACCAATTTCTGCGAGATTTACTCGAGTTTCCGCTTCTGTAAACTCTATAAGTTATACTGCAAGCATGATCGACAAATTGCTTAGCTGGTTACTTCGCTACATTCATTAAAAACATTGATCGAGCAGTTTGAAACAAAAACTACCCCCTTTCCAACAAAGGCAACTAATGACAGAACGGGATTGTATACTAAAGTCCGACATAAATGCCAACTTTACAAAGCATCATCCAGTTAGAAACTTTGCAGAACTAATAATTTATTTATGGAACAATAACATTGTTCGTCTAAATCAGATTCATTATTGGGGTAGAAACTCGAAACAGCTGTGACTGGTTAAATGAATTACAACAAAGTTTGTAGGCGGAGTGCTTCCGAAATTAAATTATTGATTCACGACGTAGGTGTTTCACGCGCGCATAATAAGGGTTAATGCAATCATATACGCTTCCCTTTGGAAAAACACCTTCTAGATGTCAATTTTGATCACCGCAGGACCAATGTCGATTAAGACACCGAGCAGCACGAAAATAATGAAAGAGAATGAATTTAAATCGAGTTTTGGCTCCCAAACGCAAAATGAATGTAATGTGGTTTGCGATGGTGGATGATGATGTAAGTTTATCTCATATTCTTATCCGGTTGTTGCGATAAGAGTGCTTTTTGCTTGCAAAACGGTCAGTTTTGTCGTTATCGAGGACATGTCCAAGAAAAATTATAATAATTTAATTCAAGGTTTTTTTCGTACCTGAACTTAATTAAACTACCCCCACAGGTGCTTGTGGATCTCGCTGTCGCTGTCGCTAATTTATAACTCGAATCCTGATTTTGATCACATCGCCGAAATCTGTTCCTTCCATTTTTAATTCTAGTGGTGAGAAAGAGAGAATCCAGAAGGGTCAAAGAAGTAAATCGTTACAGAAGACAGTTTATAGCTTGAACCATCAGCCATGTTTTTGATCACATCCCTGAACGACGTCAATAAAAGTAGAAGTCATAGTAAGACGGAAGTCAAATGAACCGTAGAAGTCAAAGAAGTAAACGAAGTCAAAGAGTCACAAACGTTAAAGTCAAATATGTCTAAGAAATCAAAAAGCGGAAATTTTTTAAAGTTGGAGGTGCCGGACGTAGTATTCTCCCCTAAGTATGATCCAATCCTCAAACTACCCCCCACAAAGTCCCGCTCTGGAAAATGCGTCCTAAACATTCGAGGATTTCAGGGGCGAACTCAATGTGAGGGCATTTTCGGGACGATATTTGGTAAACTGAATTTTCCGGAGTGTAAAATGGGAACCGGATGTTGCCCATTATTTTGAATTTGCATTTACAGTCGATTACCCAATTTTGATAAGTAGACTAATTGTACAGATGGACAGACAGATGTACGTAGATTAGAGCAAATATAGATAGTGGATGCGGAACAAAATTAGTTTGTAACATTACTCACTTCTGGGGAAATTACTTTTCTTAAAACGCCTACACTTCTTGCCTTGGAAACGATTTCCCTAATTACGCTGTTACGCTATCAAGCGTACAATCTTCAAAGCGGCTACATGTCTTACCCTTTCCAAACACAAATTAAAAATTAGTTCAAAAGGCGAGCTTTTAATTAAAAGGAATTATGATTTAGGAGTGCGTGGCTGGGAAAGTATAATAAGAAAATGTTGCGCGTTATTTCTCGTCTTCGCGTTTGCCTAATTTTCCCATTCCGTTCTTTACGATTTTTCTTCGTTTCAGGTGGAGTGAAACGGCGGCGGTTACGGGGAGCAACACGGCGTCTATATGAAGAAAAATTTCAAGTTTAAATTTACATGACAATACCTCTAATGGTAAACGAACATGTCGACAACGGAAACACCCTTAGAAGTGCCACTTTCGACGATAGCCACGTTAACAGTTCCTCCGGAAAATTATAGGTTCGTTCCCGGATCCACCGTAGTTTTGAATGGTACGTCCGCCAGCTTTATCAATAATACCCTATCCACCTTGAAGTCGCCAAGTTTTAATGGGACGGGGTACTATATCGACGATGAAGTGGAGCAAGGTAAGAATGTAGATTACTAGATGCCCTTTCGGAATTTGAAAAAATGCTTCCACTCAAAAATTAGAAATGCAGCTAAAAGATTGTATCATCTTGGATGGAATTCGTCCTAATCCTGAGATACGAATTTTCAAAAACTCAAGAAAATGTTCACCTTTGGGAAGGTGTCGCAGGGTTATCTGAAATCAATTTTCCTGTTTCATCCCCTAAATGTTTACTTTAAAACTTGTTTATTTTACCCTAACCGTGAGATACCAATTTTCAAAAGGCGAGAAAAGTGTTTAACTTTAGGAAGATCTAGCAAGGTTACCTGAAGTCAATTTTTCTGTTTCATCCCTAAAATTTTACTTTCTGCTGATGAAGTTTATTTTACCCTAATCGTGAGATACGAATTTTCTAAAAATTCAGGCAAACTTTGAACTTTAGGAAAGTGCGGAAGAGTTACCTGAAAAAAATTTTCCTGTTTCTTCCCCTAAATTTTTACTTCAAGGCTTGTAAATGTAATTTATTTTACCCTAACCCTGAGATACCAATTTTCAAAAATTCAGGAAAGTGTTTAACTTTAGGAAGATGTAGCAAGGTTACCTGAAATCAATTTTTCTGTTTCATCCCCAAAATTTTATTTTCTGCTGATAAAATTTATCTTACCCTAATCGTGAGATACGAATTTCCTAATTTCAGGCAAACGTTGAACTTTAGGAAAGTGCGGAAGGGTTACCTGATAAAAATGTTCCTGTTTCTTCCCCTAAATTTTTACTTTAAAGCTTGTAAATGTATTTTACGAAAAGCGCTTTCCAGTTTGATCAAGATTTCCTTTAATAACCGGTGTCGGCACATTTCCCAACTTTGCGATAGAGAGAGATTCGATATTTTCGAAAATCAACTTTAAACGAAATACTTTAAGCCCCAATTGGATTGGCCGAAATATTTTTTCCTTCGGCACGAAACGAATTTGCTTTGACATGCACAATTTGATCTTAATCCTCGTAACGTTAAATGGAAACCGACCTCCCAAAAACGAATTTCAAAAGGAACTTTCACCTATTTTTGATGTATTCAAAGCGTAACGTATTTACTCGAGAGGTTACACATTAAAAGCCCGTCGCTCATTTGGGGAGTTTAAATGGGGATTTCAAAGTAGGCCCATACGCAGCGGGGATTTTATTACTATGTAGGTAAATTATGGACCTGTAATACGTGTTGGAAACTTGAAGTGCCTTTTAAAATTTGTTGTTGAATATCAATTCGTTAAACAGGGAGAAATTTCTTTTTAGAATTACACCCTCGAATTGCCTTTTATTTATTACATCTGGCGCCCAACCAAATGAAACGAAAAAAGGTGGAAGAGTCAAAAAGAGAAAAAGACTCATTTTACTGAGACGAATCCGATACGATTTAGTACAAAGTTCTCTTGCGTCTTTAGTTTTATGAGTGATGTAGAGTCTCTTAAATTCTGAAGGTTCAATTTATGTGTCTGTACGATTTTCTAAATTATGTTTACGCTTCTGCAGGTTTTGGGGATTCTGTAGATAATTTACATTATAGCTACATATAGGTATTGGTTTAAGATTTCGAAGTAGTGCTATCTGTGCACTCACTAAGCTTGAGATTCTGTAAACTACGCTTGCCTAATTGACTGGATTATCTTTAACTTTAACTTTATTCACTAAAAAAAATTTCTTGACTTTTTTAAATAAAGAAAAAGCTTAATAAATCATATGGTACTGTCACATTCGCATTAATTAAAATTGATTAAACACAATGGATATATCCAGCGATTTGTACGAAAATTGGACATTGATGCAAATGTGGGACGAATGTTTCACTTCCTACATATCGCTCATGCATATTTATTTTCGTGTTAAATATAAATTGCAGCAGCATAAAGGGGTCAAATAAAGTTTATTAACGAAATACGGTCCGCGTCCACTGTAGCAATTAATATTCCTTTCCCCGAGTTTTAATTGCGTGCTTTCGCAAAAATTTTCGCGTAAAACGTGGCTTCTGCATTTCTGGGTACGGAGCGGGCGGTTAAATTTTAAGTAGTTAAGTAGAGGGTTAAATTACATTTCATGATCTCTTCCGTATTCCCCTAAGTATTGTTGTTCTCTATTTCATTCGTTTTAATCGCGCGATTGTATTATGGGATTTTTCGGGAAGGTGTGAAAGCGTATTGTGCTTTCAGGATATTATAACCCTAAATAGGGTACTATTATGTGTACCTTTTTCCTAAAATTCCCAAATTTGCTGCCTACAATCATTTTTATTCCAAATTAAAAACTCTCTAAAGATATTGACAGATAGCCAGTATGCCAAGCAAGCCATTCAGTCTGTCGCCCCTCAAAGCTCAGCCGCTTTTTAAAGCTCAAATTAAAATTTTACGTGATTCTTCTGTGTTTCTAAAATTCAACTACTTTTAAGTTCAGAAAGCAAGTAAACCCTTTACCAAAAGATTTTGAAGTGAAACCCAGAACTGAATAAAGCAATTATTAATTGAAAGTCTAATTTTCAAGTAGAAGGGCCATAAATAATAGTACTTTATCGAATTTCATAAGTAGGGTAAAATGTCTTACAATTTGAGAGTAGAAATTTTAGAGTCAACACAAAAACAAATGGATTTTGATTCATGAAACCTTCATTTTCATGTCTACCTTAAATTCTAGTTTCCATGACAGAGGCTGACCAGGCTACTTGTCCTGCCTGTCACTTTACTGGTCGCACCTGTCACATTGCTAAACGTAAACGACTCCTGTCATCACTGACAGATGGACATTAATTAAATGTTCTATACGAAAATTGAAATTCTATATTAAAATACGATTTCTGGTTAAATTTAATACAAAACTCGTCAGTTAAATGACATTACTTGACTCGGTCCCAAAGGGGCTTCGTACTTATAAATTAAGGACTAATTTGTACCCAGAAAGTTAGTATTTGTACCCGCTTATTTACTCCGGAAAACCGATTCTAAGGTGACTTCAAGATGATTTCAAGTTTCTAGTTAAATGCAAACATTTTGGGAGTGAAACGAAACACCATCCTACAATTCAAAATTTTTTTGAATTTTTTAAAAGCAAGAAAACTGAAAGGTTATAGTTCTAAATGAAGTTGGAATTTTAGTTGAAGGTTTAATTCTCGAGAAATTAGGGTAAAAGATACTTTATATTCGGCCTTAAAGTAATATTTTGGGGCAACAAAATAGATTTCAGGTAACATTGTTCAGTTAAAAAATTTCCTGAGTTTTTGAAAATTTGTACCTGAGGTTTAGAGTAAAATTCATTTACATGCTTGTAGTAAACATTTAGGGGATGAAACAGAAAAATTCATTTTCGATAACACTGCGTACCTTCGTGAAGTTCAACATTTTCCTGAGTTTCTGAAAATTCGTATCTCAGGTTTAGGGTAAAATTTAATTACTAGCTTGAAGTAAAAATTTAGGGGATGAAACAGAAAAATTGATTTCAGGTAACCCTTCCGCACTTTCCTAAAATTCAACGTTTGCCTGAATTTTAGAAAATTCGTATCTTACGATTAGGGTAAAATAAATTTCATCAGCAGAAAGTAAAATTTTGGGAATGAAACAGAAAAAAATGACTTCAGGTAACCTTGCTACACCTTCCTGAAGTTGAACACTTTCCTGAATTATTGAAAATTGGTGTCTCAGGGTTAGGGTAAAATAAATGACATTTACAAGCTTTAAAGTAAACAGTTAGAGGATGAAACAGAAAAATTGATTTCAGATAACCTTGCTACATCTTCCTAAAGTTAAACACTTTCCTGAATTTTTGAAAATTGGTATCTCAGGGTTAGGCTAAAATAAATTACATTTACAAGCTTTAAAGTAAAAATTTAGGAGAAGAAACAGGAAAATTTTTATCAGGTAACCCTTCCGCACTTTGCTAAAGTTCAACGTTTGCCTGAATTTTAGAAAATTCGTATCCCACGATTAGGGTAAAATAAATTTCATCAGCAGAAAGTAAAATTTTAGGGATTAAACAGAAAAATTGACTTCAGGTAACCTTGCTACATCTTCCTAAAGTTAAACACTTTCCTGAACTTTTGAAAATTGGTGTCTCAGGGTTAGGGTAAAATAAATGACATTTACAAGCTTTAAAGTAAACATTTAGGGGATGAAACAGAAAAATTGATTTCAGATAACCTTGCTACATCTTCCTAAAGTTGAACACTTTCCTGAATTTTTGAAAATTGGTATCTCAGCTCAGGGTTAGGGTAAAATAAATTACATTTTTAAAACACCAAAACACAAACCTCATAGATGAGCCATATGAGTTAATACCTGTGCTCTTCTATTTCCAGGTCTTTCGGAGTTTCAAACCCTTATACTGGCGTGTCTAGCAACCTTTATACCTTTGATCATCTCCCTTTTCGCCGGATTCGGAATAAGGTAAGTTCATAGAGAGAAATCTCGAGATTTACGCACAACGGGTAAAAATAGTAAAAAAAAAAATAGTTCTGTTCGCCTTTCCGGTAATAAATACGAGCTATAGTGATGATCCGGAGCAAGTTTTATTATACTTTTGCCGAGTTTTCGGAAAAGTTGGCAAAATGCGTTTCAGTTCCAATCGATCGCCCTTTCATCTCCATGACGGCAATTAATTAAGCCTGTTTCGCTGCCATAAAATCAAATTCATTTGAAAACTCGGTACCGATAAAAGAGCACTACTACTGATGCAATTGGGTCAAACCCCCGCATTAAAAAAAAGCTCATTAACGTGCTCAAACGATGTCGTTATAAAAGACAAAATCTGATCAGATACGTTAACGTTACGTATCTACGCATAATGGCCGTTAACGAGACGTATTCAAAATGAAATTTCCTTTTCAGAATACTCTGGAAGAAATATAGAAGATTCAGAGAGTGCAATAATTACGATGGTGACATTCTCCAGAGAGAGGAGAGTTCAGAACCTAGACCCCTATGCTCCCATCTCCTCAATAGTGATCAAGTAAGTTTTTCGCTCTATTCCTTTGGGGGATCTCGACGTAAAGAGAGTAATCAAACTACGGTAATAGCGGCCTGACGTTAGTTAGATTTTATGTACTTAGCAGATATTTTCTGTTTCCATTGAATGCTTTCTAGGTCGCAAAATATTGTGCGGTTTTGAATTACTGAGGGGCGAAATTGCAAAAATTATTTTCGAAGGATTATGTTTCGTACAATTCGTCTTTTTAAGTCTCCCCCTCGGTTCCCGAAATGAAAAAATATATTAATATAATATAAGGGCGAAATGCTCGAGACAAATTTTCGTTCTTTTATGCATTGACCTAATTTGAAGCGAGTGATCACCCTAACAGACGGCACGTGCCGCAATTGGAAAATTATGTCGTACTATACCCCACTATGGGATTACTTGTATAAAATAAAAAATTACATTTTGTTGTTCAAATATATTTAATGCCTTTTGATAACACAGGGTTAACAAAATTGGCCTACTAATTAAGTAATATATTAGAAAAATCTAGTAAATTGTTTAATTAAATCATTTACATTTATTAACCATTCGATTATCAAATAATTTAAACAATAATTTTTTTATAACTATTCTTACAGATAACCGACCAATACCTTATCCAAAAAAATTAAAGTAACTTCACTTGTAGATATCGGTGTTTTTCTTTAGGCTACAAATAGTATGGTCCTCTCTCGAAAAGGGCTCCCTCCAAAAAAAATTGAAAACCTGATCGCTTTCGGGGTAAACAAATTGAATCCTTTTGTGACTTACACTCGTACAAATTGTCTCTTGTTGTATGGACATTTTCGGGATAATGAAAGTAGAAGACCTATGTGACTTTTGGATCAGGAAGTGACGTCACACCAATCAGAGACGAGCACGCCCTCCTATGCCCCCCCCCCTTGGTCAATGGGGTTACGGTAGGCGGAGCCTTTAGCGCAGCCAATGAGCGGTGTGGTCCGCCATTTTGTTGGGCGCCATCTTGGATCTGTCGCCATTTTATTAGTCTCTAATTCCGCCATTTTGCTGGACGCCCTCTTGGATCGGTCGCCATTTAATTAGTCACTAGATCCGCCATCTTGGATCGTCGCCATTGTATTAGTTACTAAATCTGTCAATTTGGATCGGTCGCCATTTTATTAGTCTCTAATCCCGCCATTTTGTTGTGCGCCATCTTGGATCGGTCGCCATTTTATTAGTCACTAAATCAGCCATTCTTCTACTAATGAAGATTGTATTTACATACCTCGACCGCATTCAAAGTTTGCGTAAAATTCTCGAAGAAATAACTATGTAGACTTATGGGCACACATGAAGAAGTGAAATTCCAACTACCCTACAGACGCTAATTTTTCCTCTTATTATTGGAGTTATAGCGACAATATATATATAATACAGCTGACTTATTTGTATTAGCCCGTAAGCTTGTCCGCCATTTTGGAGCCCACTGACAAGCATTATTTAAAGAAAAACTCTATAGGGTTCTACGCAACATCGTAGCTAACCGGGGCCCCCGTAATCCCGGCAACAGTGTACGATTTTCTAAATATGCTCACTTTAATACTCGCTTATCACTAAACTCAATGATTCAAATCTAATTCACCATTCATATGAAGCGGTACACATTAAATTTTCCTTACCTGTAGAATCCATAATTTCAAACAGTTCCAAGATTGGGCTACTAGGTAATTCAAAAGTTACAGCCCTTTGAATTTTCTTTCGAAATTGGTTTCTAGTCCATAACTTTTGATTGGGAAGTCTAATCGAAAAAGTACGAATCGTTTTGGATTCTACGCACCAAAATTAATAAGAAAAAGTGTTTTCCCGAGAAATTTTGGTGCAGTCGATTTTTGGTAAAAAAGGAAGGCTACTTTTTTGCCCGAAAAAAAATTGTCTCAGATCGACCGAACCTTTTATGATTTTGTAGATCCTGTCGGTTCTGCATGCACGAAGATGCCGCAGATTCTCAGTAGGTTCTGTAATTTATTTAGATTCTACAAATTTTGAAGGTTTCTATTTACGTGACTATAGCACAATGCCAATGAATGGCTAAAAAATTTTGGTCTCCAGAGTCCAAAAACAAATATAATCATCAAGATGTAACCACCAGAGACAGAGATAGAGCGATGAATTGAAAGAGCAAGTAACCCTAAGACCATTTTACTTGTCCTGTAAAATTGTGCCAGGACAAAGGTTGTCATAGATCGACCAGAAAAAGATAATTTTCAATAAATGTTAGCCCTTAAAATCCAAAAAAGCATAGTCATCAACCCTCAATTCTAAATCTATGTAACCCCAAGGCCATTATTTTCCCCTTTAAAATTGACCAAAGACAAGGGTTGTTGTATATCGACCAAAAAAAGAAAATTTCCAACCAATTTTGTCCCTTAGAATCAAAAAATGTATAGTCATCAAAGTCTAACCACCAGAAAGAGAGGTAGAGCCATCCATTCGAAGAGAATGTAACCACAAGACCATAACCTTCCCTTTACCATTGACCAAGGACCCAGGTTGTCGTAGAATGTATAATCATCAAGGTTTAACTTCCAGAAAAAGAGGCAAGGCCATCAATTCGAAGGGTATGTATCCCCCAAACCAAGATATTGAGCAAGGACAAGTGTTGTTGTAGGTCGGCCAGAAAAAGAAAATTTCCCATAAACGTTGGGCCTTAGAATTCAAAAAATTTATAGCCATAAAGATCTGACCAGCAGAATAAGAGATTTTTACAATATAATTATAACTAATATACGATTTTCTCTTTTCTTTAATATCCAGCACCTCATTTCTACCTCTTCCAGTCATTCCCACCTCCGTACAGTTCCATAGCATGTGTTCTATGTCCTCGTCTTCCTCTCCGCATAATCTACATTTTCTTTTTTCCTTGTCTCCACTTCTCTTTCTTTCTCTCTTTATTTTCTCATCTGAATCTGGCTATTGTTTTAATATTTTCCCTTCCTTCCCACGGTAGCTACTCCTTTATCAGCTCTTTATAACTACCACTACGCGTCCGCTTCCTATCTTCTTCGAGATCCCTTTTTACCAGCCCATTTTCTATTTTTTCTCCCACTCCTCTCTTCCGTTCGACGCTATCCTTATCTTTTCAATTTTTGTTTCACCACCACCCGCTTTTTCCTTTTAATTCTCTTATCTGCTCATTTGCCTCATTCTCCCTCTGCATTTAGTATCCTAAATATTTAATTTCTTTTACCTATTCTAGTCTTGTTCCCCTTCATTTCCATTCTATCTCCCTTTTCCTTCCATCCCCCTTCCCAAATCACAACATCTTTCTACATTTAACTACTTTCCCAATACCTTTCCATTCTTCCCATCATTTTCTTCATCTGTTACGATGTCTCATCTCCTTCACCCTCCTGTCTTCCTACCTGCTTTTCTTGTAAATGTTATTTCCATTCCTCTAATTTTACTTATTTTCTCTGTTTATCACCTTCCAAATATACTTTTCTGTTTTAATTCCATGATTTGCTGGTAGTATTTTTGTTTCTCCATCTTTTTTCTATACATGTTCCTTTGTCTTCTCTCGCCTCTCATCATTTCTCTATGTCTATTTCTCTTTTCTGTACTACTCTTTTCTTTTTTGTCTCCCTTCCACTTCAGTAATTTGTTCCCGCGTTATAGATTTTTGTAATATTCTCCTCCAATTTCTTCTCCTTGTCCTTAACTGTCTCTCCCTTCGTCTTTGCGTCTTTTCATTTCATGATCTTATCTCAGTCGGAAAAGGTATGAAAAGTTAGAGTAGTTTGGGCCGAAACCCTTTCTCTAAAATTTTCTGAAATACCTAATCGATAGGTATCACCCATTTCCGTAAATCCAAAATAAGTTACAGCGTAAATTTATGTCGCAAATGCCTCTTTGTTTTAGAAATGTCGATGTCACGTCCCACACATTCGAAAAGTCTGATGTTTTAGCGTGATTTTTGCGTCTCCATTTTCGAAAAATTCAATTAACCCCGTGCACTTCAACCGAGTATCAGATACTATTCCAACCCTCGTTTGAAAATTATCAATTTAATTCAATTTGCGGTTTCTATAGAGTGTTATTCTCCACGATTTTATTACACCGTTAAGCACCCTTCGCGAAATGAAACGAGAGAAACCAATAAAAACTGCACTCAATCTACGCAAACATCCCCGGAAAGTAAATTAAGAAACAATATAAGGATTCGAAATCGATACGCATTTTCTTCTACACCCTGTTCAATCGAATATAGGGGTCGCAATACTTTTTAATTAACCTCTTTAGAAAAATTGCAATTGCCAATGAAGGCATTCAGTTTTGTAAACTTCAGGATTGACTTTTGTTAGGTGCTGCCTGCTTTATTACCAATTTATGTTTTATAACTTTGTAACGAGACGCGTTGTTTTTGAACTTGCCTAATAAAAACAGGGACGGCGTAAAATTGAAGGAGTCGAAATACTTTATTAAACAAACTGACAATCATTTTAGCGAGGGGTACTCAAGCTTAATTTATATGATTTAATTTATTTGGCAATAACCTTTGGGGCGCCATCAAGTCGATAAAAGATTAGTCATTGGCGAGGATGTGACTTATGATTTCTGTTAAACATGATAAGCCCTCTAGATTTTTCGAGAAGCTTTAGTCTCAAGATCGATGCAGTTGTCGGTCGTCCCCTGTGGGTTGAAGCAGCATACTGTAATTCGAACGCTAGTGTTTCTAAAAATCACTTCGATCATGGTTCGCACTATCTTCCAGTCCAACCCATCTAAACCACATCCAATCTTCGGGATCGCCAAGCTATTTATGTCATAGTATGCCATGAGTTTCCTTAAGCTTTTTATAGCAGACCAGAGGTTTTCATAGGTGGGTTTGCCTTCTGACGTTTTCTTTGAAACCAAGTAGAACAAAGAGCGTTGACTATCTTCCAAGCGCAGTACTTTACCCACTCGTGGTCTTTGCTTTAACAACTCGTCCATTCTTCCAAATCTTTTCCGGAATACGAAAGCTATACCTCTAC